GTGTAAAGTTTTAGTAGCTATTAAAAACTATTAGCTAAAAAACAAACAAAAGCCCCTAATGGCTATGATCTGGATGTTTGTGTTCCCACCCACCCCCAGATTCTTATGTTGAAATCTTAATGTCCAATGTGATGGTACTGGGTGTTGGGCCTTTGAGAGGTACCTCAGTCATATCCTAATGGACTAAGACACTAACTGTCTGCATTTCTGAATAAAGACGTAAATAAACCCTGTAATACATGACTGCTTATCTCCTTAGGTAGCTAGTAGAGAAAATGAGAGGACCTAGATTCCTATATCTTGTGTAAATTGAGAGATCTGGCTTTCTAGCTCTTACCTAAAGTAAATTTAACAGTTGATTGACCATCCTAGAGCCAAGGCAAAGTTGTTAAAAAAAAAAAAAACCCAAACTGTGTAATAATAACAGTAAATGATTTTTGACAATATTTTCTTTTTTAAACCATATACTTTCCTCCCAGATTTCTAAACCTATGTATCCGATTCAGTAAACATCTTCACTAAAATGTCCCATAAATATCTTATGAAAAGTTAGAATTCTTTCTCTTGTAACTGACTGATATCTGCATAAAACTGCATTATATCATTGGGAAAGTTTTTGGCTCCTAGTACTTAGAGAAGACTTCTGAAAGTCCCTTGGAGAGCAAGGAGATCAAACCAGTCAGTCTTAAGGGAAATCAACCCTGAATATGTTGGAAGGACTGATGCTGAAGCTGAAGCTTCAGTATTTTGGTCATCTGATGAGAACAGCTGACGTTTTGGAAAAGACCCTGATGTTGGGAAAGATTGAAGGCAGAAGGAGAAAAGGGCATCAGAGGATGAGATGGCTGGATGGCATCACCGATGTAAGGGACATGAACTTGGGCAAACTTCGGGAGGTGGTGAGGGACAGGGAGGCCTGGCCTACTGCCGTCCATGAGATTGCAATGAGTCAGACACGACTGGGCGGCTGAACAACAACCACTTGGGAAAAACAGAAATGGAACTGACCTCAGGGTCAGCTAGATTCAGAGGCTCAAATGATGTTAGGTTATCAACTCTTGGCATTGTACATTTTTTTTTTCTGACAGTAGGCTTCTTTCGTGTGGTAAGAGCAGTGACCACAGGCAGCTGAAAACTGACATTGTCTACCTTTAGTGAACTCAGAAAAAAGAACGTCTGTCCCAGGTTCCCTGTGAAAAACAGTCCAGCCAAAGTCTCTGCTCATGCTGTCTGAGGCTCGAATAAACCCTTCTAGGGCCAAGTTGTGTAGCAGTATTATTGGAAGTATACTTGTATGTATCAGTTAAATATTGGTTGGACTGTTTTAACAGAAATAACGGTAACTTAAAGGAAGTAGCCATTCACTTTCTTTCACATAAAATCCCAAGCTAATAGATGGTCTGAGGGCAGATTGGCTCTATTTCTCAAGTGTTCATGCTCCTTCTTTCTTGGGATTCTGCATTCTCTCTGGTTTCCCTCTTGTCTATATGATGATGGATCACTGCTATTATATCTGCCTTCTGTCCTGAAAGTAGGGAGAGAGTGGAAGGCAAGCAGCTGCTTTTTAAGGGTACAAACCACTTCAGTTTACAAATGGTTGTCTAGAACTAGTCACATGATCAGACTTATGCTAGGAAGGCTAGAGAATATAGGCTCCATCAGGTGGCCATTATTCCAGCTAGAACTGGTTGGAAAGTGTGGAGGGGTGTGTACTTTGAAGGGAAAAATAGATCTTAGAGTAGTGATCTCTTGTCACAGGCAGTTTTATTGGCAGCCTCACCATAATCACATGGCTGTACTTGATTTTATAGGGGAAGACTAGTTCCTAAAGGTAAGACGGATAGAGGGATCATTAATGGAAGATATCGGAGGTGGAAGAGAGAGCATGACAGACAAAATTGACACCTGTATTATATACCTGAAAATAAACACATCTGAAACTTAGCATCTTTCAAAACAGTATGTAATATTTGTCCAAATTGATTTAATGGCTGCCAGCCAATCAGCTGTCCAAACTAAATGTAGGGCTAATTACACACTTCTCTTATTCTTTCCTTCTCAGTCGCTGTTGATACTTAATTGATGTGACTCCAGTCCCATGGATTCTCCTTCTCCCCACAATTACTTCTTTAGTTCAGGCTCCCTTCCTCTCATTTTTGGGATATTTGGATACTCTCCTCTCTATAGTCTCCCAAGAGAGCCTGAGTGATATCAAAAGACCAATATGATCATGTCAAACCCTTGCTTAAAACAACAAAACAAAAATCTTATTTGCTTCCCATTGCCTTCATGATAAAGCGTAGCAGGTTATAAAATGCTCTGACTCTTAACTAGCTAGCTTCTCTTACTTTTTAGTGTCCTAGCATTCTATTCCTACTAAAATCCTACCAGTCTCCTCAATGTCACACTGTTTCCTCTTTCTCTGGTTTTGCCCTTTACTATATTTTCACCTAGGGCTTCCCTGGTGGCTCAGTGGTAAAGAATCTGCCTCCAATGCCAGAGACGGGGGTTCAGTCCCTGGGTTGGGGAGATCGCCTGGAGAAGGAAATGGCAACCCACTTCGGTATTCTTTCCTGGGAAATCCAAACACCGCTTTTTCTTCAAAGGGGCTTCCCTGGTGGCTAAGATGATAAAGATTCCACCTACAGTGGGAGCCTTGTGTTCAATCCCTGAGTTGGGAAGATTCCCCTGGAGGAGGGCATGACAATCTGTTCAGTATTCTTGCCTGGAGAATCCCCATGGACAGAGGAGCCTGGCGGGCTGCAGTCCATGGGGTCGCAAAGAGCTGGACGTGACTAAGCGACTAAGAACACACGTAGTTCAAAGAAATCTCTTTCTGGGAAACTTTCTCTGGCCCTCTACTTCTTCCACTAACATTTACTTCTCTCTCCTTTTGCTACCTCTGTCATCTTAGTCATTGCAAATATTTGTTTACAACGGTCTTTTTGATTTGATTATGAATCCCTGTGGGACCTATATCTTTTATCTATATCCCTAGTGTCTGACACAATATAAATCCTTAATAAGTATTTATTGAATGAATAAATGAATTGAGAAATCTTATCTTTCATATAGTGGTTCTCAGTTATTTACTACCATTCCTATTATAAAGGTGTAAAGTGTAGGAAGAAATTGTTTTAAGTTTGCTTCTTTAGGTAATAAGAGGAGTATCTTTTCTTATTTGCGTATAAGTTTTTATAATATAAAGCAAAATTTGAGTTTTTATTTCATGTAGAGCTGATTTTTCTGAGGTTCTCTCAGGCTTCTATAACAAAATACTGTAGATTGAGTGGCTTAAACAATAGTTCTGGAGGCTGGGAAATCCAAGGTGAAGATGCCAGATTTAGTTCCAGGCAAAGGCCCTGTTTCTATAAGTATCCCTGCTCCCTCTTACTCTTGGTTCTAAAGAATTTTAAGATCCTGTCAATATCGAATGAATTTATATTTATTCTTTAAAGTTGCTTTGAATAAATGATATCCTCAAGGGGGTATTTTTTGAAATTGTCTGTGGCATACCTGGACATGTTTAAGTGAAGGCTTAGGTTCATTGAGTAGACGGAATATTAAGTTCCAAGTAGTAATTGAGTGGAGGGGTAAATTACAGGCTGTTTTCTAGTACTGTATTAAGTGAAGGTTGTGCTGGTGGCTGACAGAGGTGATGTGGTGGTGGTGGTGAGAGGTGGGCGAGATGAGTGGAGGGAGTGAAAGTGTAGAAACTCCCAGCTATGAAATAAGTAAGTCCGGGGATATAATATGCATCATAGTGACTGCAGTTAGTACTGTACTACATGTTTAAAAGTTGCAAAGAAAATAAATCTTAAAAGTTCTTACCACAAGGAAAAAATTTGTAACTGTATGTAATGGATGTTAACTAGACTTACTATGTGATCATTATGCCATATACACAAATATCCAAACATTTTATGGTATATCTTTAAAATAATATGGCTATATCTCAAGAAAGAATAATAAAGTAAATATTAAATCAGATAATAAAGCAAAAAAAAAGTGAGTGCTATGTTATATCAGTCACACCATATTATGAGAAAACAACTGGTTTCCAATTTTATTAGAGATAGAAACTTAGTGTTTATTTAAAAGCAGTGCATGGGGATCATAGAAAATTTAGAAAATACATATAAATATAGAGAAGAAAATAGAAAACTCTGTGTCCTTGTATATGATTATTTTATAGTGATACATGCCTTTTACGTACTTGTTTGTTATAAAATGGGATAGGATACATGGGTTTATAATTTTTTCCCTGTCATTTAAATTGACTTTCAAAACATGTTTATTTCATATTATTCTCTGAATGACATATGTAATTGGTCCCCAGGGTTAGACTTTGAAGTGGCTTTGTATTTACTAAACTAAATACTCTTTAAGTATTCTTCACTAAGATTAATACTTCTTGTAGTTTCTTTTAAAAACGTTAGTAAAATCTATTGGTCTGTAAGATTCTACCTTTGGTGTCATGTTTAGACATGTGAAGACTAGTATTTTATGTTTTATTTATGGTATTTTAGCAAATTTTTCAGTCTATCTGAAATTTATTAAGATGTACTGTATGAAGTTTGAGTATAATTTTAGAATAATTTTTTGAAGCCTGCAGTTTATGTCAAGAACTTTGTCAGGAATAGAGGATCATATCACTTATCTATTCATGCTAAATAACACTGAGTTTCATGTTTTTTATGATAACCAAAAATCATTAATAATACGATCAATAATGATTGAATAGAATTAGTGAACTATCTCTGAGAATCTGGCTCACTTACTATATTTTAACATACCTCTAGCTTTCTACATATTTTTCCAGTCTAGCTTACTCAGGAAAATATTATAGACAAATGTTCTGTTTTGAAAGATTCCTTGTTTCATTGCTATTTGGTTTGTAATGAGAGCATACCTTGTACATTGTTAACTTACAGATGTTACAAAATATATTATCTATATTTTTACTAATTTTGCAAATATATTTATTTTGGTCTTTCTAGAATCTGTGTTTGTGGTTATCCTCGACAACAAGTAAGAAAATACAAAGGTATAAGTAGCAGGGTACCAGTTTCTTCAGGATTCATGGTGCAAATGTTAACAGGAATTTATTTTGCCTTGTAAGTTTATTTCATATACAAAGTTAACCTTTGATCTCTTTGGGAAATTATAGTCTTATTGTTACTGCATTATAATCTCAATAAATAATCTGCATATTTTTGTGAAAATATGAATCAATATCCTAATACGTTTTATTATTTAAAATCTTTTAATATTCTAAAGAATATATAACCAACTAAAACACTTTGTCATCTTTAATTAAAAGACAGAATGAAAATTATTGATATGTAATTACACTCACAGTTTCTTTTGTCATTACTTATTTTTATTTTTTTGTTGTAATTTCCAAATAGCATTTTTCCCTAATGAGTATCTTTTTTCCGTTTCCAGAAATTTTAATTATTGAAAAACATTAAAGTCTCTTTTATCACAAAGTTTATTATGAATATGCTACTAATTTCTAAAATCAATGATATCTTGTTTGTTGCTTTAGGTGTTAATACTTTTCCTGGAACCTGATCTTTTACTTTCTAATTCTCTTACTATATATATTATATTCACTTGATACCCTAATTTTCCCTAGTAGATTATAAACTTCTTCCTTTTTTTTTTTCCTTTTGGCCACACCACACAGCTTATGGAACCTTAGTTCCCTGACCAGGAATCCAACCTACATCCCCTGCTTTGGGGAAGCATGGAGTCTTAACCACTGGGCTGCCAGGGAAGTCTTGATTATGAGCTTCTTAACTGAAGGAAGAATTTATGATCTTTGGACCAAATCTGATCTGCTCCCTTAAAAAAAAAAGTTTTATTGAAATGCAGTGACATTCATTTATATATTGTCTGTGGCTGCTTTTGTGTTACAGTGACAGAGCTGACCCCACGAACCTAAAACATTTATTATCTGGCCCTTTAAGAAAAATTTTTTTGACTCGTGTTAGACCAGTAATATTGCTCCAAAGCTCTTGAATGTTCTGATATATTTTCCTTTTTCTCTTTTTTTGCTGTGTTTCTGATTGAGTAATTTCTGCTGATCTGTCTTCATGTTCCTCGATTCTTTCCTTGACTGTTAAGTCTACTAATAAGCGCAGTGAGAGCATTCTTTATTTTTAGTCTTTTCATTTAGCTTTTTCTTATAGTTCCTATCTCCGCTGAACTATCCATCTATTCATGCATGTTGCCCCTCTTTTCCACTAGAGACTTTAATATATTAATCTTAGTGATTTTATTTTCCCCAGTAACTGTAGCATTTGAATTTGGTTCTGTTTTTCTTTGTCTCTTGACAGTGTGCTGTTTTGCCTTTTGCTTTTTGTGTGCTTTGTAATATTTGACCATCATTTTGTTCATGAGTAGGACAGTAGAGATTGAGGTAAATATTATTTAAGCCTAGAAATGGATATGCCTCTTTTCTAGTATACTGGTAGAGTTATTATAGAGAGGAGTGAGCTGGGACTGGATTTCGTTGTTGCTATGGTTACCTATATCGCACCACCTACTTCAGATTCCTTTTATGTTACCTGGTACTTAGAGCCGGAGAGTTTCTCCTCAATATTCTTGCTCTATCCTCAGCTTTCAGCTTTCCCGGTGTATCTGTACCTCAGAGAGGGTCTCTCTCCATGTTCTTTCCTCTCCTCTAGCAGTAGAGTGCTGTTGCATGTTTCTAGATATGTACTAGCCTGGTTCGGGGTGGTGGGGAAGAGGAAGTGGTATTTTCTATTGTTCTGGTCTAGTCTCATTTCTAAGCAGGCCCTGAGTCCTTGCTTATCAGGGTAGGAGTTCCTCAGTGGTCCTGACTCTTCCCTGCAAGTAGAGGTTTTTTCTTTTTCTCCCCCTCACAGCCAGAGTTGGTCTTTGCCTATGCCCTCGGGGTGAAATGGTTTGCTCATCTTTCCCCGGGGCTCTGAACTTTAGTTCTCCTGACAGGGTCTGGCTGGACCTTGGTGCCTTTTTGGCCCTGGTGGCGGCCTCTTCCTTCAGGCCTGCGCTGCCAGGAGCAGCTTTCTCTGGTCCCTGCTTTGTGCTTAGCTTTTCTTGTGAGTGCCTAAACGTGGTTTGTGAAGAAGAGCTAATGAGTGGGTGTGAATCCCCTTGCATCTACTTCCAGAGTGTCTGTACTCTTGTCTGGCCCACACTTGGCTTTTAGGAATTTGTTGAAAAGTTTAGCTGAATTTCTCTTACCCACCTGCATTGTGGCCTGAGTCTCCTCAAGGGCACTTGACTGCTGTTGGCTGCTGGGCTACTTAGTTGCCCTGTTACCATAGCTCCTTATTGCATTCATGAGAAGTTATGATTTTTTAGATTACTTGGCTTTATCTTGTGTTTAGGGTGAGAGCAGTGCTCTTTCCATTTTTTAGGCCTCACTTGTACTCTTGATGTAATTCACACTCCTTTATTTTGTTATCATATGAGAAAGCCATTATTTCTCTGTCCATTCCATCATTGAGCCAATTTTTAGGAATGGTTTGGCCATATCTTTGAAAGTTAGTCCACACACACTTTTCCCTCTAATATCTCTGTGATATGTGTAGCATATATCATATACACTTCTAACTGACTATGTGAATGCAAAGAAATAACTACTTAGGATGCTGCAAGCCACAGTAGTTATAGATTTTCATTAAAAACTGTGGGAGTTACAGAGTAATTTGACCATTAAGTGTTCTGAACATTATTCCAAGGTATATAATTTATTATGCTCTGACTTGCTTTGAAAGCATGAAATGCTTTGAAATTGCCTAGCTTTTTGGGTACATGTTTTATAAATAGACATGTTCTTTAGAGAAGAAATGCATATCTATAAAATTTTCTGTTAATAGACTTTCAGATATAATTGAAAGGAATTCAAAGATTTAAAAATACATTTTTAATGAGGGTAGAACGCTAAGAAGTGTGCTAATATGATCAATTATTTTCCTCATTAAAGATAGTTTCTCATTATATCTTATTTAATTTATATAGAATTAATTTAAAATAATTATACTTAATTTTATAGTTACAATGGAGAATGGGATCTAGCTCAAAAAGCATTGGATGATATTATATACAGAGCCCAGCTAGAATTATATCCAGAGCCATTGCTGGTAGGTGCCTCACTTATTTATGTAAATTAAAATTTCTCAGCTTAAAACTATAAATTAAGAAGCCATTTGTAGTGCATTAATATATTATTAATACTCAATGATTCATGCTCCTGTTATAATAGAAAACTTTTATACTTGAAAAAGGTATACATGATTTGAAATTTTCATTAAGCTAACTTCTTAGCCTGATAGTCCTTTTCATATGTAAGAATGTTCTCATTAACATGCTAGAGCTGCATTTATTAATTAGCATTAGGAAATATAATTTAATATTTTTGAATTTTAAATTTCATCACATATATTTTTAACTGTGAATTTTGTTCTTCTTAATGTAGAGGATTTATGTATCATCTTATGATATATCTTGGAGGAATTATTCTTTTTAAAAACCTGTTAAAATTTAGCATCTTGTTTTATCTGAGTATAATAATACATCTATTCAATGACAATCTTAAACTATATTTTTCCTTCTTAGGTTGCCAATGCAATACAAGCTTCATTGCCTCACGGTGCCATGAGATCTAGTAAGGAGGGTACAAGGTGTATTCAAGTTGAGATCACACCAACTTCCTCTAGAATATCAAGAAATGCAGTAACCAGCATGTCAATAAGAGGTCACAGGTGGAAAAGACACGGTAAGAAACAAAACACTCTTCAGATTAGAGGATTGTTAGTGCTGTCCCCTTCTTTGTACTTAAGGTGCTATAACTTCTAAATTTAGTAAATAATATTATAGTGGCATGGAATAAAGAGCTGTTGGATCACCTTTAGCTTTTCATTTACTATCCATGAATGGCAGTCAATAGGAAAACAGAGCCCTTATGTTACACGTATGGATGAAAATTTATTTAAATGTTGAATTGGCTTTAGATTTCATTTCAACACAATAGGACAGTAGGAAGTACATGTTTCAATTATTAATACATTTTGTGTTTCTATTCACAACTGCATCCAAATATTCCTAATGTTCTTGATTTTTCAACTCTTTAGCAGGTATACTTGCATACAGGAATAGAACAACTATAATATAGGGACTTAAACATTTTCTTCTGAAAGTGTTAGTAAAGAATCCTATAGTATTGATCCAACTCTAGATATTTCTATATTCTGGAAGTTAATTTTCTTGCAAGATTATTTGTTTTATTATTCCTTCTTGACTGCTTCATTTTATTCTTTAAAAATTCTACTGGAAGTTAATTTTATTTACCATGACCTTCTCAGTTTTTTCCATCACTCTACTTTCTCTCATACCTTATTTTTTATTTGATTTCTTGTTCTTTTTATAACCCTCCTCCTACCTAGAAGTTGCTGTAGTGGGCGCACATCTGTGTAAGAAGATTACTATCACCTTTCTAGAAGTTAACCACAGAATGGGAAACAAAAAGCTGCTTCTTTGCCCCAAGAAAGCATGTGTATTGGTGTAAAACAAAATCCACTCTCTATTTTCTTCTTCCTACAAACTGCAATGAAAATGGTAGCTCCTTTAGTATATTTGATAGTTCCAGTTGTCTCTATGATATCTATAGAGAAAATGCAAAAGTGTGATGATTCACTGTGAAATAGAAAGTTGATAGCAGTTGCCATTGTTCCTTGCAGGGAATCTAGAAGGCTGTATGTCCAAAAAAAAAAAAGATGATGGAATTCTCCAACTTAACCAATGATCATTTTCAGTCTTTTCTTTTTTTAAAGGCATGTAATAAATTCCTTCCTTTAGGAAGGCACAAAAAGGTGGAAATATGTTTGCCATTATCAAGGCAAATTATGCTATTGTTTAAAATATAGGGTCTAAACATACATCAGTTTCTTCAGTGAAATTTATGCTACAGTTTGACTAGATTACAGACAGAGTCATTTAATTAGATGTCACCATGTTACCCTAGAGGTCAGTTTTTTGTCTGGGCACTAATAGGTGAAAATAGGCACAGGGGCAATGAATCAGATCGTATGGGTCCATTATGGCCATAATCGCTCAAAAACTACCACTACAGGAAATGCAAGGATGAATTTTAATTCCTTTTCCACTGTTGCTTCTATTTAGGTGGACATATTGGGAACTAGGGGGAAAAATATAGGTCTTGTAGTTAAAAATGTGAAATATTGAAGTTTTAATGCTTAATTGTATTTGTATATATGTACATGTGAAAGAGAAGGTTTGCATATGTGTTCATAAATGCATTTAATGAGATAAGATGTGTACCCAGCAATAAAATAGAAACCATAGAAACCATTTTTCAGAAATATTGTATAGCAGTAAATTACCAAAACAAGAAAAGACTACTTGAGTATATTGTATGCACTAGATTTTTACCTATCTTCTGGATTTTATTTTGGCTACCACTTGAAGGGTTGGCACAGTATCTTAAGGCTCCAGCCTCACAGGCTACAGCCTTTCTCACTACATTTATTCAACCTTTGAAACTCTGGCACTTGGGCAACTCCTATTTATGATAATAAAAAAATTAAGGATGATGATTTAGAAGAGAATGCACTATGAAAAGCAAGTCAGATTCATGTAGCAGAAACAGAATGTAGCTTAGTCTTGACCATTCCATCTGCAGTGTGAATTCTCTTTATCCAGTGGACTCTAAAATATTCCTAGGCCAAGGTCCTTGTTTATCTCCACAGGTAGACTACACTCTCCCTTTATAGAGCAATCTTGGCTTTCCTTCCTAGAGCAGTATTTTTCATTGTTTTGCTGAACTGAAAGCTTTTCTGTTTTCCATCACCATGGTCCTGATTCCTATCTGAACACCTTATCATTTTTCTGGCTCTAGCTGACACTGGCTTCTTGTGGGGAAGATAGGTATCTTTACTATAGTTCTTAAATATGTAGATAATTCTCAATTTGTAAATGGATTTTTAAATTAAATGTGTTTATATAGATTATGTTTATTCACATATGAATTATATATAAATTATAATGAATTTAATTTATACATTAATTTTTGCAGAAACAGTGTTAAAGGGCTTGTGGATTCCAGGGTGATCCACAAAAGACTTAACTCTCATAATGTTTCTAAAGCATAGCACTGTAGAATGTAAGGTTAGTTTATGACTATGTGAAAACACATTCAGAGTTTCTTTGTTTGGTGGAACACTAAATGCATTTTGTGTTCGACCTATATCTCTTATCATTCCCTTCCAACACCAACCCTCCCAGAAGGAAGGATTTCTTCTCAGACCCTGAACTGTATCACATGGTAGGAACATGGAATATGCAACTTTAACTCAGTGATGATGAGGGTTGGGGTAGGAGAAGGGACATGAAACATGAATGTTAAGGAATATCCTTTTTTGTTCTCCTTGCTTCTTCCCTTGTTATTGCCAGTGCTGGGAAAGAAGAAAGCAGTTGTTCTTTTTTTCTTTTCTTGGATCTCTTCCCTTTTTCTTCTTATTTTAAAAATGAGATATAATTGACATGTAACATTAGTTTCAGGTGTACAGACAGGCGTCAATATATGAATACATTGTGAACTGATCAGTAAAGTATATCTAGTTAATATGCATTTCCACACATAATTACCTTTTTGCCCCCTCATAATGAGAATTTGTAAGATCTACTCTCTAAGCAACTTTTAAAATACACCATACAGTATTATTATTATTAATGAATAATGACCATGCTGTACATTGCATCCCATGATTTATATTTTTATAACTTGAAGTTTGTATCTGTTGATCACTTTCACCCATTTCCCACCTCTGTTCTCTGTTCTCTATATCTAGTTCAGAGTTTTTGTTTGTTTTTTAGATTTCACATATTAGGAAGCTCACATGGTATTTATCTTTCTCTCTCTGACTTATTTCTTAGTGTAATGCCCTTAAGGTCTATCCATATTGTTGCAAGTGACAGGAGTTCCTTCTTTTTTATGAATAAATAACCTATCACATTTTCATTATTTATTCATTTGTTGATGGATGTTTAGGTTGCTTCCATGTTTATGTCTTCCTTTATTGCCTCTCTTCTTATTTCTCCATTTTCCATCCTAGCCGGGGATAAAAGGGACAGGAGTAAATAAGGTTACTGAAGCGGTCAGTCAGAATTTTGTTTTGTTTTTTTTCTTTGACTTTTTTTTTCTTTACATCTCCCTATTTCATTAAGAAATATAGATAATTAAGCCATATAAATGTATTTGTTTGTTTGCATAGCTGAGTCACCAAAAATTGCACATGCAAACAAATACATTAAATTGGAACACTTAATCACATGTTTTCTTTTTCTTATTTGTAACAAAGAAAAAAAACTTTTTTTACAGCCAAAACCAATTCATATTTTAGTATGAAACTAATTTTGAACACTTTTAATCATTTGCATTCAAAAATTTTTTTCTGAACTCTTTCTGAATGTATTTCAGTATTCTCTGAAGCTTCCCAGATCTGCCATTCTTTTGTTAAAGTTAAGAATTTATCTATAAATATATTAATGGAAAGCATTCTTTTGGAAAACAAAAAATTGCTTTAGCTTTAGCATTTCCACACATTTCAGAACATAGATCCCTTGCCATGACCTTATTATTGTTAAATAACCCAAATTTCTAGAGTTATATTTTGGCAAGTTCAATTTTTAAATTATTATTATTATTAATAGACTTTGTTTTTTCAAGAGCAGTTTTAGGTTCACAACAAAATTGAGTGGAAAGTACAGGTTCCTGGATACCCTCTGACCACTATCCTTTATCAACATTCTTTATCCTCCCAACAGTCAACACCCCAAGCAAGAGAGATGTTGCAAGGCCCTGTCATTCTAATTTTGATGAGACAGTGATTAAACAGAATGATTTTTAAAGAAAAGTTAGTTTCTGCTGATATATTATTTTGGAGAGACATGTTTGACCATTGGTGTCTTTGCCTGATTTTCCCCACTTTTCATTTAGTTTTTTTTGATATTGTACTGATGAAGCATAACTTAATGTTGTGTTTTCAGACTTTTGAAATTCTGTGTATAAATTTTTGAGAAAGTTTTAATGAATTTATAATTCCATGTCAATATATATGTTCAGAAACTAAAATTATAATGTAGAATTGCTGCTTTTGACTTTCAAGCGTCATAGTTTCATAATTAATAGCTTTATTTATATATATTATTCTTTCAAACATACTGTGTTTCATCTAGTGTATATTTTTTAAACCTATATTTTCAAGCCACTTACAGATTGAGGGCTACTTAGAAGTCATAATTTGAAAGTAAAATGCAATTAGAGAATGATAATAATAGAAAAAAGATTTTTAAAAGCATTAAGGTAAGAGAAGAATGTGAGTAGATTATGACCATAATAAGAGTCAAAATGAAAATTCCAGTAATAAAGGTAAAACTGTGAAATAATCAACTTTTTAAATTAATAATAAAAATGCAATTTTATTTAAATCAGCCATGGATTTACATGTATTCCCCATCCCGATCCCCCCTCCCACCTCCCTCTCTACCCGATCCCTCTGGGTCTTCCCAGTGCACCAGGCCCAAGCACTTGTCTCATGCATCCAACCTGCGCTGGTGTGAAATCCTAATTTTTTATTACTTCCTACTATTTTTCCACTAGTGCATTTGTGAGATAAGTGAGACAAATCAGTGAAAAGCATTTTGGTATGTTTTAAAACACTACATAAAGCCTGATTGTTTATTAATTAAAAACTGCTT